GAACAGGTGTGTAAAGGCGTGTGCAGGTGTGCACAGGTGTGCTCAGGTGTGTGCAGGTGTGTGCAGGTGTGTACCTGTGTGTACAGGTGTGCACAGGTGTGCTCAGGTGTGTTCAGGTGTGTTCAGGTGTGTTCAGGTGTGTAAAGGCGTGTGCAGGTGTGCACAGGTGTGACGTTCACGGCGTGCTCATGGTGTGCTCAGGTGCGTGCAGTGTGTACCTGTACCTGTGTGTGCCGGTGTGCGCAGGTGTGTGCAGGTGTGTGTAGGCGTGTGCAGGTGTGTTCAGGTGTGTTCAGGTGTGTGCAGGTGAGCTGAGCTTACAGCACGTGCTTTGTGCAGCGAGTACAGGTGTGTGCAGGTGTATGTAGGTGTGCACAGGTGTGCGCAGGTGTGCACAGGTGTGTGCAGCTGTATGTAGGTGTGCACAGGTGTGCACAGGTGTGCGCAGGTGTGCACAGGTGTGCACAGGTGTGCGCAGGTGTGCACAGGTGTGCACAGGTGTGTGCAGGTGTGTGCAGGTGTGTGCAGGCACTCACAGGTGCACACAGGTGTGTTCAGGTGTATACAGGTGTGCGTGCAGCTGCTCACAGGTGCTCACAGGTGTGTGTAACTGTGTACAGGTGTGCACAGGTGCACACAAGTGTGTACAGGTGTGCGTGCAGCTGCTCACAGGTGCTCACAGGTGTAGGTGTGCACACGTGCTCACAGGTGTGAACAGGTGTGTGCAGGTGTGTGCAGCTGTGTACAGGTGTACGTGCAGGTGCTCACAGGTGCTCACAGGTGTGCACAGGTGCTCACAGGTGCTCACAGGTGTGCACAGGTGTGTGTGCAGGTGTACGTGCAGGTGTGCACACGTGCTCACAGGTGTGAACAGGTGTGTGCAGGTGTGTGCAGCTGTGTACAGGTGTACGTGCAGGTGCTCACAGGTGCTCACAGCTGTGTACAGGTGCACACAGGTGTGTGCAGGTGTGTACAGGTGTACGTGCAGGTGTGCACACGTGCTCACAGGTGTGCACAGGTGTGCACAGGTGCTCACAGCTGTGTACAGGTGTGTGTACAGGTGCTCACAGGTGCTCACAGGTGTGTGCAGGTGTGTACAGGTGTGTAAATGTCTGTGCAGCTCTGTACCTGTGTGTGCAGGTGCTCACAGGTGCGCACAGGTGCTCACAGGTGCTCACAGCTGTGTACAGGTGCTCACAGGTGTGCACACGTGCTCACAGGTGCTCACAGGTGTGCACAGGTGCTCACAGGTGCACACAGGTGTGTGCACAGGTGTGCACAGGTGCTCACAGGTGCCCATTCCCACCCCACCCCCTCCCCCCACGCCCCCTC